TAATAGTCACGTCAAGTGCGTGAATTTTCTCACGATAATAATATCTATTTAAAATATAATTTCAATTTAAAAAACGGATTGAACTAACTTAAAAAAAGAATAACATATTTCCTTAGTTAGGATTACTCATTACCTTGCGAATTAGACACTGTGGTTTTTTAATTACTCAATTCAGTAAGTAATTGAAGCGTAATTACTCGCATCTGGTGCGGAAAAGTTTACGCGTATCTTAAATAGTAAACAACTTGTTGATCAGCTTATGAAAAATACTAAAAAATTATAAATCTTCATGCCAATACGAATTAGATTGGATTTAATACCTGATGTGATAAAAAAAAAAAAAAATTTGTCGCCAAGCTTTAAATAAATATTTAACATCTATCCCAAGCAAGCATTTGAAATTTAAGTAAAAGAAGTGGAATAGTTAATAAAGAGTAGCGTATAAAAGAATTTATTTGTATTGTAGAAAAATTAATTGGAAAGTCAAGCGAATAAACACTACATATTTTTCATCACGGTGATTTAGTCGATGAAACGAGATATTTTACAAAAAAAATCACTATATGCTTACATGCATATAAACTAATTATTTTTATAGTTTTTAGTTTCTAATTGTTTCATCTGGTATTCCAATAAAATAAAATTTAACTTTCAATATAAATGAGGTGAACATTAAAAAATGCTTATATCCAATGAAATATATTTTTCATTCAAAAACTTTTGTTTCTTCGTCTTTTAGATAACAAGATAGATAACCGATTCTTTCATATATTCTTAGTAATACACCGTCGATTAAATAAAATCACAATGCCAATAAGCTGATTTGTATAGTTAATATTAACAAATTCTGATTTTTACAGTAAAGAGTTGCTCGATAGAAGTCGATACAACAATGTAAAATTCCTTCCGTTTGAAATATATTAACATTATTTTTATTCTAAATTTTTTTTTTAAGATATCGAGAATGAAGCATTCGCTAGGTGATCATAAAAATAATGAAATATTTTATTGTTTATTAAAGTATAGATTGAGAAGAATATGTTAGTGCTCGATATGACAGTTTTGCGAAGTAATTTCAAGTAAATTATTGTTTACAAATGTGCGATGAAAGAGGCATATTGAAAGATATAAAAACTTAAATTTAAAAAAATGTTTAAATATATTCGTGAAAAGATGTCATACTCCGATGAGAATTTAAAATGTAATATATCGTCCAATAAAGCAAGTATCAAGGCGGTTTTTGAATATATTTTTCTTTTATTGCCTTCTCACTCATAAGGTAAAACGTATGATGACGTAATGTATACCGCCTACCCTAAATATTGTGTGCAAAAATGTAAGTTGATATTACTTTCGGAAATAAAAAGCAGGACAAATACCACAAAATAAAATATATTTTAAGTGTACGGGAAATTTGATGTTTTTTTTTTGTTTACATAGAATTTTCGTTTTTTGTTTTTTCAATCGATGACAATAAATAAAAATCGAAAAATATTACATAATATTTATATAAAAGTTTGTACAATAATAAAATTAATAACAAGTCATTCAAATATTGTGTAAAAAGTGATTAAAAATCATTGAATGAAGGAAAAATTTGTGCCAAATATTGATTCTACGTACTGTTAAAAAATAAAAATAATCCTGTATTTGTATTATCAACTTTCATTATTGTTTGTAGTTAAAGAATTTTTCAACACAATGTGTAATATTAGGCTAATAAATTGAAAAAATGAAAGAATAAGTATAAATGTGAATGCTCTTTAATGCTTATCGTTATACCTAACTGTAAAATTATATTTAAATAATGTATAAGTAATATTACTTTCTTATCCATCTAAATATTAGTTAATAAATTTTTGAATGATTTGCAATTCCACTTTAGTTCTATCATAGATTTTCACTCTTCGGTGCCATATTGTTGATAATGAAAAGCAAAAAAAAAAAAGAAGAAGAAAAAAATCATATATGTCGATGGAATAATAATATAATCGGCTGATTAAAGAATATCACTTCCAGCTTTTTGCATTCTTCCACTCTTAAGTCCATTTAAATATTAACTATACTTTTTGGCCTCTATCAATATGAAATCATATTGAAATCGTTAATTAAAACTGTTGTCAATGTCGCTTTTGCAATATTAATTATTATACGAGTTTTGTACTTACTCTAATATAATATACATTAGTTAGTATGGCAGTACGAGATGTGGAATAAAATGTTTTGTTTTTTAATTATTTGCTATATCATCTTGTGGTTTTTATAATTACATAATTTTATTAACTATATAGATCTTATTAAAGTGCTCGCTTTATTGTAAGTAACTCATTAACGTAAGTATCCTCTCAGTTCAATCCCAATCGTTATTCAGCAATCATATATATTTAGTCTCTGCTCTAATCGTAATTCTATACTCGTACAAGCTTTCTTTATTTTAATACTAACGATTTCGTTGACTTGCAAAGCACATTTGTGTTACCTATGTTCGCGCAGGCGCTCGAAAAATATGGTCTGGCGTTAAAAACTTCTGCTTTTCGATACGAATTGCATAATATATTACATAATACATAATAGCGTCAAAACCAAATCAAACAAGATACTAAAAGATATTGCGAATGTCAAACGGTTTTAATAAATCGATTTTTGCTATTATTATTATTATTATTATTATTATTGTTGTTGTTGTTGTTGTTGTTGTATGAAAGCTCTAACTTATTTAACCAATCATTGCGACAGTTTTCTTTCAATTTAGGGAAATTTTTACAAATATTACACAAGCAAGACCTTGTTCTTTTTATTATTATTATTATTACTATTATTACGCGTTACTTTGTATTTCCTTTGTTCAAGTATCCCTCTACCTGTAAATGCTTAATTACGTGCACTAATCATCAAATATTTTTATGCCCGTCAAATGGCTAATTATAACTTAATTATTATATAAAAAAAAAAAAAAACAAAATCACAATATTTGACGATTAATGCAAATATGTATGTAGGAAGTATGCAAGAAGATCTCGATGACGTTACAGCATCGCTTAGGGCATGGACATGAACGACGCTCACGAATAGCCAACAATTAATTGTCGAAGTGTTAATATTTTGACCAAAATGCACCGGAAACGTTAATCCTCGTTCGACTATCTTAGCTATCTCGATTCTAAAATATAGATTAATTACTGAGCCTCGGACATATACTGTACGAGGTCACATAAAAAAATGCATAAATTCCAGAAACTCGTTAGCCCCGGAGAACTATTAAAGCGGCAATTGCGCTTCTCGGAAGAAAACGTCGCTTAATCGATCTGTAAAAGTACCAAGTACTTGAGGGAGGAGCAAGGCCTACGAGCTAATCTCTTTTAAATCAAACAAACGTTAGTATACAATACAATTTTCTCAGCCGATTAAGCTCGAAATGCGGGCCGTGCTTTATCTCGTGAGTCTGCGTTTCGTCGATTCAGCAAAGAAGCGTCCGTCCGTCTGTCTATCCATCGGACTTGGGCAAACGTAACGTGCGCCAATGAGAAAGGAACCAGAGGACGGCAACGCTTTGTGGTTTGGAGGCTAAGAGAGCGAGAGAGCGAGATGGGACGACGGGCAAGAAGAGAAGAGGCGCGACAAAAAACGGAGTTGAGAGAGAGAGAGAGAGAGAAGGTCGCCACCGTCGTTGCCACGAGAAGCACCGGCAAGGTACAAAGACAAGTCGGGGGCCCCTTTTACGCTCGGGACGACAAAATTGTTTTCTAATCTATCTGGAGAAACGTAGCTTTGTTGGCTTTTAACGATTTACCGAATGAAACAGAGCAAGCATCTTGGACTTTTTGCCACATTCGTAGCGTACGTGGCCTTGGTCAACGGCAATCACCAATCTCTATTCCAATGATTTTAAATTAAATTCAATACACGGGTGACACGCAAGTGTTCTTCGAGCTCTACTAACATTATAAAGGACAAACAACGTTAGGTTAACGACGTTATATTCAATTGTATACTCTTCTAGTCTCTCTCTCTCTCTCTCTCTCTCTCTCTGTATATATAAATTGTGTAGAACAGTTGCCCGAAAACGAATGGATTTGATTTATATTTTTGTCAAAGCGTAAACGGGGCTAAGGTGAACGTGTGGCAGTGTGGGGTCGGCGGCAGTGGCTGAGCGCGGTAGGCTGGGGGGGGGGTCGCGTGTACGGCGGGGGAAAATGCGAGAGAGAGGGAGAGACGGAGAGTGGTGGCTGGGGGGGGGGGCGCGTGTACGGCGGGGGAAATTGCGAGAGAGAGGGAGAGACGGAGAGACTGGCGGCGGATGGTCGAGGAGAAGCAGAGAGAAAGCGATTTGAGATCTCGCTACTTGCTCACGCGCATATGGAAAAGCAACGCGGCGACGGCGTCCCTCCATGCAAACGCGCGCGCGCGCACATCGCGAGTATAGAGTAAGAAGCGTCTGGAGCGCAAAAAAAGATTCTAACGCACCTTAATTGGCTATTATTACGCTCTTTCTTTTGCCAAAGCATAAATCGCGAAAATGATGGAGACGCGCTCGAGAATCCGAGAGTAAAAGCCTCGTTGGACGTTGGAGAGACGGCAGCGGCAAGGGAAGAGAGGAAGGAGGAGGAGGAGGAGAAGGAGTAGGAGGGGGTTGTGGTGAGCCAGGGATTGGGGGAGATAAGAGAGTAAGAAGACGGGAAAAGAAGAGTATCAGGGGAATGAGGATTGAGAAGGGAGGACGCGAAGAAGGAATATCGATAGGTAGCGACGGCCCGCAGCTCGTCGTACGCACGCGGCGCAAAACAGGTAACTCGAGAAAGGTGGAGGGTGGTGTACGTCGCGGCCGAGGTATCGGGGGAAGCGGAGCCACCGAGGAGGAGACTCGTTGTTGTCTCAGGTGAATCACGCAAACGTCCGCGGACCGAGTCGGCGTCGACCCGTGTCCGAAACTAAGAGAAGAGCCGGTGAAGGTGAAGGTGGAGGTGGAGGTGGTGGAAGACGAGGAGGAGGAAAAGGAGGAAAAGAAGAAGTGGCGCGAATATCTCGTTGCTGCCTACCCCGCGTTCCCATGCCCTCGGGTAATCGAAGAGAGACCGCTGGCCTCTGAAACTGACGAGGACGTAAGGGCGGTGGGGAAGGTCAAGACGTGAGACCAGCAAATGCCAAGCGTCCGACGGCGAGACGATGAGGCTGTTGCTGGTGCTGCTGTTCGGCGTGATTCTGGCCAAGGCCAGCACGATGGACAACTATGCGGGCAGCAGCGTCAGTGGGGCCGAGGAGGATGAGCTCGCTCGCGTCAAGATAGCCAAATGCTGCGAGGGTACGGAGCTGCTCCTGGATAGCGTCTGCGTGCCGATATCGGAGACGAACGAGACGAAGCCGTGGAGGCCCGAGTTCCAAAGCGATGACAGCTACGAGGGGGCCAAGCCCGTCAAGGAGCCCAAGTACCTTCTAAAGTACGGGCCGCCCCGCTGCCGCGCCAACGAGAATCAATGGGAGGTGTATTATTACCCGTCCAGTCCCGACACCCTGGTCGTACTGACCAATGGCAAGCTAAGGCATTACATTCCCGATCAGGTGGACGAAGTCGAGAAAGCCAAAGAAATGTATGGGATGGAGTTCCTGGAACTGGAGGATGTGCAAGCCAAAGCTATTCATTATGATTATCCTTTTGGTCACTATTGCGCCGACAAGGCAATATTCACCAAGAATCACCTTATAGCTACGTACGCCAAGATATGCGTGCCTAGACCAATCAAATGGGCAAATACGGATAACTTGATGAAGAAGGCCATCGATCCTGCGTTGCACGCCATTGCCATGGTTAGTTACCTGGTGGTAGCTATAGTATATTTTGTCTTGCCTCAATTAAGGGACCTTGTGGGAAATATCATTACTACTATGACACTGTGCCTTATCGTTAATCAGAGTGCCTCTCTTGTCAGGATATTTACAGAATTTGGAAACCATGTCAGTTTTCTCATAGCAGGTAAGGATTTCCATAATATTTCTAGCTAATATCTTTAGCTTTTTTGCATGGACATTACAATAGTAAGCTCTAGTATGTTAGCCAATAGTATTTTCAATGCTCTCTGTTACAGATTCGGTCATGTATGTGTCACTATTGGCTGCTTTCTTCTGGCTCAATGCCTTAGGTTACTACGTGTGGAATACATTCAGATCGAGAAACGTATTTCTCAGAAGCACAGATGGACGAAAATACTGCTGCTATTCAACTTTTGTGTGGGGTTCGACAGTCGCTATAGCAGCAACTGCTATTTTTGCACATTTCACTTTAGAGACAAAGAAGCCAATTATTGGTGGGGTAGCATTCGCTGCACAAGAAACCGTAGGTTGGTTAGGACTCTCCGTTCTTTTTACATCCGTGGCATTTACTATTATCGTAGACTTGTGCTTTGTCCTTACAACAATAAATAAGATAAAGCGGATGCGTACGTACGGAAGGATTCATCATAAAATGAAATACAGTTTCCGAATGTTTATCCTAATCTACGCTATAATGAGCGTAGGATGGATTTCACTTTTACTTTCACTTCTTAAATACGATGGCCTAATATATTGTCACATAGTCGTCAATGTATTTCAAGCACTTCTCATACTCTATGTTTGTGTATTTGGACAAAAGAGAGTTACATTTTTACTTGGAAAAACGTGCAATTGTTGCACTTCAAATGACAATGCAGAAGGCTTGGATTGGGGTGAAGAAATGACTGCAATTAATGCTGGATATTAATTTATATTGTAAAGAGATAATATTGCACAACCCGTGAATATATATATATATATATATATATATATATATATATATACACACACACACACACATACACAAAAAGACTTAAAATGTGCTAACATCATTTTCTGTTTCCATTGGATAATTTCCAAAATTTAATGTTTGTTAGAGTTTTTATGTTTGTTTTACAAAATCATAATTTTTAGATTATCAGTATTTTCATAAACAAATATTAATCTTATATAAGATTGTTAAAAATTTACAATTGCATCTATTATAATATAGATATAAATTTAATTCCTCGACTAAATTTACTAATTACCAGAAATTTTAATGACATTTTAATATGCACTATCCTCTGCAATAAAAAATAATCTATAGCTAAGAATAAAATTTTTAAATATTAAAATAATAAGTGCAAATACACGAGTGATATTTATTTTAATAAAATGTATAACATTATTTTATGTATAACAGAATCTCTTAGTCAACATTCCAAATTTTCAAAAAAATGGGGTTTAAAAACAAATAATGTTGGACTATTGAAGAATTTCTCATTTACGTATTTGAAAATTAATGTAATTTAAAAAACCTTTAAAAAATTAATATATTGGTATTTCTTATTTTTATGAATAAATTTCATACCATTTAAAAAGTAATCAATTATAAGTTATTTTTAAGTCTAGTTTTTAATATTTATACTCCTTTATAAAAGAAATTTTAATTTTTGTATCATGAATGAAAAATAAAAACATTTGAAATAACTCACTTGTCCAAATAGTCCTCCTTCTGGCCGTTGTAATAAATTTGATAACTGACATCTAACAACCAAGTGACAGTCATCCATAACGGTATTGAAATATCGTCTAGTTGGTAAAAGAGCTTCTAAGTCTATCATTAATTCCAAAAAACGCTCACAATAATGAACTTTATCCGGATTCGTGAGTCCTAAATGTAATATATAAATATAGATAAACGTTTAATTACATTTAATTATATACACATTATATCAATAAGATGTTTAAGATTACATTCTACCGATATGAATTTTTATTCAAATTGTATTTCAATGTATTCTATCTATATAATTTTAACTAAATAGAATAATTTTATCAATGCTACATTACGTGTGTAAACCATGCTCAACTATCTAAGCATTGAAAACATGTTAAAATTGGAATGCAAGATGCATTTAAACACTGAACAAATGAATGAATAAATAAATAAATTTTAATGAACAACTTACCTTCCAACGTTATAGTCTCTAAAATTGTCATAAACTTAATCATCAATCTGTGTAAAAATTTACGCTCCCATTCTAGCTTATCTTTATTATCTGGTCTCTCTTTTTTAAAAATTGCTTTCCAATATTTTCGCCACTTTGGGTACTTTTTGAATTCAAGTTCTCTTCTACCTTGTTGCAGTGATATCCATATAGATAACGATACAAGTCTTCTAACTTGTTCACGTACAAGAGCAACCTCCATCGAATTGAAGCAATGATTTAAAAAAACAATCAAAGCTGTCTGTTCTCTCAAATCATAGTCGTGTATACTTTCTTCTAGGCAAGCTTCTAAAACATGTTGAAAAAAACCTGGAAATTGGTTTGGCAGTTTTTCAAATGCCTCCCACACTTGTACCCGCTCGCGAAATTTCTCATTTACCATAACAACAATGGACATGGTGTGCGCTCTTGTAGCAGTCTGAGCGTTGTAATTAGGCCAAAGGTACTTTTCTAAATATTGACTAAACTCAAGCATCATTATACGTCGTATGGAAAATTTTGATACGCATATCTCTTCGACGTAAATGTCATCAGCTATTTGAGCACTGAAGGAAAGATGCGAATCGGAGGTATGAGGTGCCCAATATTTATTTGCAAGCTAAAACATATAATATATTATTTTAATTTACGAGTGGTTGAAAATCGTAGAATTATATTAGACTTGCGAGGTAACACATTACCTGAGTTATCCTGTCCGCGTTGATTTGCTCGACAGTTGGAGCTGGATTATTAATTTTTATGGGCGGCAATACTTGAGTCTCCATTTTAATATTTTTAAATAACTAACTAACCAAACAGATTTAAAAGACTCCACTATCCAATGAACATATTTTTCCCCACGTATCAGATCAAAACCTAACCTATTATTTTACATACACATTTTTAAATAGTTACAAGCAATCTTTCTTAACTTAATTCGAAAATTCAAAGCAGCTCCGTGACCTCAGCATCGGACTCTCTCCAATTACAGAAAAACAATTATTGAAATTGTTAAACAATCAGGGACTTTTGACGATGATGTTCAAATGCGTTTTAAAAGCTTACTTTTAATAAGGCACTTTCAAAGTATCCTAAATATTAACACTTTATCAAATTAACAATACGCATAATCTTATCGTATCTAAACAATAAATAATAATACCATCGATATAAAATTACTTTAACTTAAAATTCCGTAGGGATAATATTTGTACGCACGTTTGGCAAGTACCGCAATTGTCATTGCAGTGTTTTACCTAGAAGTACCATTGGTTTAATGGGAAGGCGCTGAATTTTGAACGTAAAGTATTTCGAAAGAAAGAAGTGAATTTAAGACAGCGAGAAGTAAGGACAGTTCGTAAAGCACGTAGATGGACGAGCTATTTCATAAAGGATCCTGTTGGAGCGATAATTATTTTATATTTTGTATTTGAAATTGAATGACCTTTTGATTGATGGTGTTTCAATGGCAATTGCCAAGCACACAGGCCGTGCTATTTATATTATGCTTGAAATGTTTGTATTTGTATATCCAATCCAATAAGTAATCCAATGAGTCAAAAAAGTATTTTAAAATTTAGATTGAAGAAAAAGGAAAAAAGAAGAAGAAAGAGATTTAAATTTAAAGATTAAATTAATTTTAAAAACGTAAATATTCATAATTTTTCGGTCAATACAGTCCGAATGCATGAAATGACCGAAACTTTTTGACACGATCAATTCAAAAATATTCTGGCTGTGTAATTAGGATATTGAGAATGCAACAACACAACAACAACAACAACAACAACAACAACAACAACAATAATAATACCAGGTGATCATTCGACTGACAGTAGTGACCGACATTCATTTTATTCTTCTTATAGATGTAATTGTTATTTGATATTATATAAGTTGATAACGTCATTAGATGAAAAAAATTTCAAATTATATATCATTAATAATACATTTGCAAAATGCATCGCAAATATTCTAAATGCAAATTTTGAATTATTTATCCAATTGGTTTTTTCATTAAAGAAGTATGGATACCAAATTCACGGAGTCAGGCGTCACCGTGAATATCACAAGAGAATACGAGAGAATGAAAACTTATAAAATATGGCATTCCTCTAAAAAATCGCAGGCACGAATCAACGATTACAATCATCATCTCTAGATGCCCTGTCACCATTGACGCAAAAACCTCTGATAAATACAAATGCAAAGTACAGATAAAAACACTATGGTGATAAACGCCCGTTCCGCCGGTGACCTAACCTTACATAAATGTTGTCTTACGCTAGGTTTCAAAAATGGTAGCAGTGTCAGTTTCAGAGAGATAGTGAATTCCGCAGGATTTTTTGTGGATCTTCTCCATTCTCATCATCTTGCAGTTATGGACTGCGGCGAAGCTTCGATATTTTAAAACTTAGATTATTGAATTGAGTTTTTCTGACGAATACCTTGTTGTGGCATTTAGTAAGTAATATTTATGTATTATGTTTAGCGTTTTTTGTTTGTATTCAGTATACCTGCATTACCTTTAGCGAGTTAACGCAAGTTAAGCCCCTTTAAAAACTAAATGCAGAATATAATTTACATTGCGTGACAAAATTTATTTTACTCTCTCTCTCTCTCTCTCTCTCTCTCTCTCTATCTATCTATCTATCTATCTCTCTATCCCTTTATCTCTTTACCTATCTCTCTCTCTCTCTCTCTCTCTCTCTCTCTCTCTGGCATTGGATTTTCGCTCTAATTGAAAGGATAAACACGATTCAGGCAAAAGTAGAATAAAAAAAAATTAACGTTCTTGCGCATTAAATGCTATAGAAATTCGCTACTTGTATGTATTGGTATTAAAAAATCAATAACAATGATGATTTAACTGCTTTTGTTCTTTTTTCATTGCAAAAATTAAGCTTACTTTTTACAGTAGCGCAATCATTATAATGACAGAATTTTAATATAGGTAATGACAAGAAATTTTTCATTAACAGGAAAATTGTAAATTCTAAATAAAATTATGGAAATTTCAAAAAGAGCTAGAATGGAATATGATGATGTACCATTAGACTTAAGTACAAAGAAAACTCCAGCAAATGAGCATAAAAGAGAAGAGACAGAATTACTGCGCTCAAACAAACTTAATGACAGTGACATTTTTGTCGTCCCTAAAGTCCCGCCTCAAATAATTAGTATCTCTGACAGAATTCTAGCGTCCGAATGTGCACTTTCGCAGAAACTTAGATATATCAATTTTAACTTTCCTGTCGAATACGTATATAATCCTATCGAATATGCATTTCAAGTTCACGCAATGTATGTAACTAAATATTGCCGTTCGACAAAAAAAATCCTGTTTCTTGGTATGAATCCTGGTCCGTGGGGTATGTCCCAAACAGGGGTACCATTTGGCGAAGTAAATATTGTGAGAGATTGGTTAAAGATCAGTGGTAATATTGGTAAACCAATTCGAGAACAAGCTGATAGACTGATAACAGGGTTTAATTGTACTCGTAGTGAAATTAGTGGACGAAGATTTTGGAATCTATTTCGAGAACTATGTCACGAAGATCCTGAAAAATTTTTTAGACATGCATTTTTGCACAATTACTGCCCAATTGCTTTGATGGATGCTGGAGGTCGAAACATCACTCCCGCAGAATTAAAGGCAATATATTTAATTTTGGATTGTAAATATGTAATTAATGGATTGTTATCTTTATTTCTAGGGTCCCGAACAGTATACTTTGTATGCAGCTTGCGATGAAACTTTAATAGCCGTATTAAAGTTACTTAAAGTGGAGATTATATTGGGTGTTGGAAGGTTTGCCGAGAAAAGAGCTCAAACTGTAGTCAAAACAACGGGTCTTCCTATAAAGGTTGTATCTAACTTATTAAATAAAAAAAAAAGAAAGAAAGAAAACACACACACACAACATTGACAAGCAAAAGTCAGAATTAATAATAATATGTTTTTGTCAAATTAAAGGTATTGTGCATTCCTCATCCAAGTCCAAGATCAGTGGGGAATGAAAATTGGAACGAGAAAGCTAAACTCAAACTTAGAGAATACAACTTGATGGAATACTTTTCAAATTAATCGTATTTTGTCTATTAACATAGGATAAATATTACAATTTCTGAGTATTTTTATTCAAAAAGATCTCATTTTTCCTTTAAATTTTATTTTGATATTTATAGAAAGTATAAATAAGTTACAATATTATATTTGTTATAACATTTTTTTTTTTACATTTTATGCGAATGTAAGTTTGAAAATGAATGTTGTTGAATGGATGGATAAAGCTTTAGAGAAGGCAGAGGAATCATTAAAGAAGGGTGAAGTTCCTGTTGGTTGTTTATTTATATATGAAAATAAAATTATTGCGACTGGCAGTAATACTGTGAATGAGACTCGAAATGCCACTCGACATGCCGAACTAAATTGTATCGATGATATACTAGTCTACTGCCAGGAAAACAATTATAATTATAAGGAAGTTTTTAAAAACATCGACGTTGTAGTGACTGTAGAACCATGCATAATGTGTGCTGCAGCGCTTCATCAGCTGCAAATTCGTAGTATAATATATGGCTGTGCCAATGATAGATTTGGAGGTTGTAAGAGCGTTTTTGAGGTATCTAAAGTTTACGAAACTAAAATAAATGTAGTAGGTAATGTTAAAGGAAACGAAGCAATGCAATTACTTAAAGACTTTTATAAGGGTACGAATCCGAATGCACCAGAAGCAAAGAAAGGGCGCAAGAAGAAAGTGGACAATAACGAATAATAATTTGTTAAAAAAAGCATAAGTTGAGGTGAAAATTGATTTTACTATTTAACTATAGTAAGAATATACATGAGTTGTGATTAAATGATAAGAAATGCTTCAAGTTATATTTGCATTTAAATTTGCGCTCATTATCAATAGGGGCAATATTGTAATTCATATAAAATGTGATTACTTATAATTTTTTGTATATGCTACTTTAACAAATTACAATTCAAGAATGATACTGTTAAAAGAGTCCAAGATATTTCTTCTTAATAAATTGTTACTCCCATCAATATCTTTATTATATAAATGTAATCGAGCTATATAAGACTCCTTCTTATTTAAGTTATAATCCTTTTTTAATTTTATATTTTATAAAAGATTTTATAATGTTTCGATGTATGTACATTTTGTAAATTGAATAATAAATCAAGTTATATTTACAATATTAATGTAAAATCTATGAAGACTTTTACATTAGCTTTTTAGTAGATAATAAGGTGTTATTAACTGTTTTCTTCATTTCTTTCAACGAACTAAATTTTCAAAGTCATTTCAAACGTCAGAAGTATACGTGAAAAAACTGCTATTAATAAATGTAGACGTTATATTGTGTTAGAAACAATGGAGTTTCTAAAACGATATATAATATCTATCGAGTTAAAAATTTCTAGTCTGTAATCATTGCACAACTGTTTCTACGATAAATCAACAACACCAATTCGTAATTAATTATCCGAGCATGTTTCCAAACATTTTATAACATAAATGAAATTAAATTATCAATAAATTATAGAATTGCTTTATTTATCCTTAATGCCTCATACTATTATGTTCAAGAAACATATGTACCAATAATGCATTTTCTTCAAATTAAAGCCGTTATAAAGTTATTATTGATAATACATGTATTCGTGTTATATAATTTTACATATGCAATTTACAAAATTATAAAAATTTTAAATAAAAACAAAATTAAAATATTTTTTAAAACTTATCTAACATTATAATATTAATACTTTTTAAAATACAAAATAATTAACATTTTCTTAAAATTTCAAAAATTATGAAAAATAATGGAATTAATTCAAAATATTAGATTATCAACGCGAATGTGTATATTGTACAAAATATATATATATATATATATATATATATATATATATATATGTATGTTTCAAATTACAATGTACATATACAGTTATTTACGATAAATCTTTAAAATAAGATATAATTGGATATATTTACAAAATTTTCCTAAATGAAAGCAGCACGTTTTATATAAAGTATTTTCTATAAATATGTTTTCAACAACAACAACAACAAAAAAAAGTTTTTTTTATTTCATTACTAATAATTAATTATATTAATATTTACTATTTAAAGGTAATTGTTTACATGGCCTCAGAATATTAGAGCTTATGATGATAACAACTTGTCAAGATTTGTATAAAACTTCTTAAACTAAATGGATAACTTAACTCGAAGCGAAATAATAGTCGAAAACATACAAAAAAATTTTCGCGCATCATATCAATAAATATTAAAATTGCACAAGCACTCTCGACATAATAAGTTTTTTCAATTTTATTTACACCACGTTGGATCAAGTTCGCACTTTCCTTGATACCATCGAATTAATAACTGATTCTTCAGGGAATAATCTTTCAAAATCATATTTTGCGTCTGTTGAAAGAAAAAAAGTTTCTCATCTATCTTTTAATTTGATCAAATCTGTAAAAATTAAAATAAACGTAATTTACATACTATGGGCGGTGGAAAAATTCTCAAATAATCCATTTTGTTATTATGCTCCCAATAACTTTGTGATAAAGTATGCCTTATTTCTTCGGTGAAGCATTGTTTGCATAATTGGCATTCTATTCTAAAGCAATCGTCGCAGTTTGAGCAGATTTCCGGCAAAACAACTAAATTTTTATCAGCTATTATCATATCTTCTTCTTCAGAATTTCTGAAAAATGTTATATTTTTTTATGAAATGTTTATTATAAATAAGTACATTGGTAAGATGAGAATTACTTGTTACGATGAATTTATTTGATAATGTTTAAGTTTTACATTAATTTTGCATGGTTTTTTTTAGATATTACAATAATTCAATGGAAGAATAACTATTGAAAGTGATATTTACCTTATTTTTAAAGAATCTTTTCGCACACGCTGTCCCACTCCTATTAAAGCGAATAAATTATATAGAACTTGTTCGTACAGCAGTTGATTCGGTGGATAATGCGCGGAAGATAAATTTGGCGACATATTCGCCTCCATCATGAATACATTAAGATTTTCATCGATCATGAAATCGAATCTGACCAATTCAAAGAAATTGGTACCCCCCTTAAAGCGTTTAAGAATTTGACGCATTTGATACTCCTTTTGAAGAACGACACTTCTAATTGCTTCGAAACAATTATTCCACATCTTCTGAGGATCCTTTCCTTGTAAACGAACGTAAGAGTCAAAAGACTCTTTCATGGAAAATCCCAGATTTTTATAGTAATTTTTAAGCGAAGGCACATTCCAGATCGGCAAGTAATCATCCCCGACGACGTACTTATCAATCACTTCGGGATCGAAGGGATAATACTTAACTGGACAAAAACGAAAGAGTATATCTCCTTTATAGGCATATATCCTTAGTGGATCGATGGAGCTTATAACCGTATAAATTCCAATATCGAATTTATATCCGTCAACCAAAAACGGATTCTCTATGAATTCTTGCACAAACGAACCATCCGCCGTCAAATTTAAATCGTGTATTTTCTGTATTTTTATACCTCTATGGGCGTTTGATTTCTGCACAAAAATCTTATCAGGGTGCTCCTTCAAGTATTGCAATAGTTCATTGCGATTTTCTGGAATTTTGTAGGCTCTTGGGAGAAATTGCCCTTCCGTCGTTGAAAGATCGACTTTGTTAGTGATGTAGCCACATCCAGGAAAATGATTAACTCTTTGATGAATCCTTAAATTACTTAACGAAGAATATAATGTCCTAAAAGGATAGTCGTGTGCCCAAAGTAAGTCCCAATCTGATTCATTATTTCCACGTTTAAATCCGAGTCTATCCAGCACCGCAAATACGTGTTTCAAATAGCCGGTACTGGGCTCCTTGGCATATACCCAGTAAGTCGGTCGTTTTTCTTTCGTGGTGATTTCCTTTACTTGGATTTTTATTAAATTAGACTGATAATGCAAAAATAAGAAAAAGAGCGTATAGAGAAATGCGGGCGCCACTATTGCGAAGAAGAATATCTTTGCTAATACTTTAACTTTGGTGTCGAGAACTTTTGCTTTTAATCCAACATCGCTCTAAAATCCAAAGAAATTTATATAAAAACAAATAAACAACAACAACAACAACAACACTACTACTACTACTACTACTACTACTACTACCACCATCACTACAACAATAATAAGAACAATAATAACAACGACAGAAAATATAATATAGATCACATTATATGGTTTTAAATGTTGTGACATAACGGATATCGATTAACTGTACTTTAACAACGTGAAAAAATTCGATTACGCGGACAAAAAGGAATATATTTTTCTTGATATTACCAACATGAAAAATATCAACTATTACGTCCCGGTTCGTGTGCACGTAATTAGTAATAGTAATTAGTAATATTATTCATTCAAATTACTCGGCCATATTGATCGGCCATTTTTAATTTTGAATATGCATTATGAATTGGCATGCATGCCGCATCGGAAAATCCGCATTGAAAATGTACACAATAGGATAAATATCAAGCGCTGACCGATACATAATAATAGGTCCCTAAGCCAATGACAGCGCGTTTAACAATGTTTAAAGTAATCATTGACTTGTACATGTCTATTATCATTTTTGAAATTACTGTCATTAATGATTTATTTAAAAATGAAACCCTTACCTTTCTCCCGTTTACATTGCTCCGCTCTTCTTTCATTGTGATTGTTTAAAGCAACCGCGAGGCCCAGAAAGTTTTTATCGCGACGATTCTCATTCCAATCTGTCTGCTCTTCCCTTCGATAGCATCGTATTGTAAGCGTGTAAAGCGTGTATAAAAATTATATTCCTACATTGTCTCGACTGTGCCGGAGTAAAGAAAAAAGTACCGTTGTCCGCTTCATCCCCGCCACATGTTAGTTCTTCGCCTCTTGTACAAGGAGTTAACCGGGAGGAAAACCTGTTTCCCCACCAGACAACTTCTTGCCAGCTTGGTTTTCGTTGCCTTTATATTACCCCGAGTCAATCGGATTCTTCAACACTTATAACCTTTAAGCTTACGCACAAGTGTGCACGGATTTGTAATATACAAACATTCGTAATGTTTCGCTAAAACGATTTTCTAATAATTTTGCGAAATACTTCGTTATCGAAAAATCCCAAATGTATTTAAGTATTTTGTTTGCTTTTTTTTCTTCATAGGATTGCCAAATGAAATGGCATGTTTACAGATGACGATTTACAACAACAACAGCAACAACAATAACAATAACCAAAATTAATATTAAAAGACAAATAGAATAAGTAAGCATACCATTGCCATTGAAATCATTAACATAATAATAATCAGTGCTCGAATTATAAAGTCATATGATAACGATAATTTAAAATGTGCAACGATTTAATCCGAGTGCTTATATTAATTGCCCTTGAAAAGCCTTTAAAAGCATTATAAATAAATTCAACAGTCTTATAAATATATTATACTTAAGTTAGGCTTTTTAATCATTTCTTCGAATTTCTTAATTTTTAATAGCTATTTTCGCTTTTATTTTTTTTCTTTTCTTTTACTTCTATTATTATGTTTATCGTCACGAGAATTTCTATTCGATAATAGCGAACTCAAAATACCGTTAAATTGAATGAAATATCTAATCGATATTTTCCGCTATTATAAAATTATAAAACTCAACAAAATGATTCCCAATTACATCCTACCTGTTTTTAAAATTTCAAATTTTCCTATAACGATTGAACCGCCCTCTACTAACTTCCGCAACAGCCATTTGTGCAGATTAACATTTCCTTTATCTCGTGTTCTAGCTGCTCGCTTTTCTTAAGTTTCCCAAGTGCTCAATTTTCATCTAATATGGGTTTCCCTAATATTTGGTACTCGCATCCACGCAAATACGGCCAAGGATCACGATCTTGGTAAATAATAGTGTATTTTTCATTTTGGAAAAAAGTATTCGACTTAATTAAATTTGCACGATGATGCATTCAGACACATTTTCATTTCGTCGCGTAAACACGTTTATCAAAATTTTTATAATTTTGTAACAGGAAGACAAAGGGTAAAATCAAGTCTTGTTGTGTAAAGTAAATGTTTGTAAGTCACTTGAAGGCAATCGTAATGTACATTTAGAATAATCTTAAGTATTTTTAAAGTCTTAAGTAATCTTAAAATACCATCTGTACGCGATATAACCTCAACATTTGGTAAGAAAAGTTGGCAGTTGATAAGACGATGTGTACTTATACGGAAAACCATTCTGTATCCACGAATACGTTTTGTATATTATATTATAATTCAACTCGGGTAGCGTTATTAATATATTATTCGTTTTTATTTATTTTAGCCGTGCATGCGCCAACAGACACGGACTCATCCGGAAATACGGACTGAACATTTGCCGCCAATGCTTCAGGGAATATGCCGCTGATATAGGATTTAAGAAGGTACGGATAAAAACATTCGTCGACCATCGATATTAACAATGAAATAATGTTTATGAATTCTTGAAAACGAAGCCAAACTATGAATTTCATATAAATAAATTATACCTGTGTTTAAATATTGATAAATTGGTAAGATTCCACAGTTTTGTTGTCTGCAATCTGTAGATTTGACAAAGCTTACGTTATTTCATTGTTGCTATCGTTAAATAAGCAACCAAATTAGTAAAGACACAAAAATAAATTATTATTCTTACAATTTCAATTTATAATAATTATGGATTCATAATTTGTTTCTTTCTAGTTGGATTAAATGCTGAAAAGTAGGCTGATCTGATTTTGTGAAATAAATGGATTTCACATTCTTATTGATGTTTAAGTAGATTTTTACATTGGTAGGGATGTCTTGAATGTGTATCTCAAGAAATCAGTAAAACCTTTAAAAATATTGGATTATTTGTTGGTTGAATTTTGGACTATGTCCAGATAATGTCCAATACTGTTCACGTTCCTTTCTTCTTCTTATCCCTTAATTAACCGCTGCATAAAAAAAATAAAATATATATATATATATATATATTTATACGCATGTAATATAAAAGAATAAGAAATAATTGAAAGATTGTCAATTTAATTTACAGAAGTTGCTTGAATAGCTAATGTTAAGATCGATCTTTTTGGTGGTCTGCAAATTTTTTTTGAACCTTCTTGACAACATAAATTTGGAAAGCAATCTATTGTTGTATTACAAGGATGTGTAAATACATCGAGAACAGCTGGTGGCGCTGGTTGGCATTGTACGTATCCAACTAAAGACTTTAAAGCTGAAGAAGAAGATAAATATATAAATTATTGAAAGTCAAAGCTTTTACTTACATATTTTGGTGGGAAGATAATGAATTTGTGCGTACAACTAAGATTATTTGGTAAAGGCAATTCCGACCATATTGGAGCTGCTATTCTACAGTATAAATTTCTATCACTTTTATCGGGACAACAAATTCGATTTAATCCTTCGCAGTCTGCATCTTTCGAGCATCTTTGTATAGGCAATCTTTCGGGAAATGTGAATGAAGGGCATTTTCGTTGAATTCCTAAGATATCTAAAATAAAAAAATTTTCTTACGATTTTAGCGCAATCAATAATAGGTTAAATCATATAAAATACCGTATAGCGGTAAAGCTCATTGATAATCAAGTGCCGTTTGCGTAATGCAATGACAGAGCGTAATTATTACTGAAATAAGAATTTTGCATATGTGTTCATTAATTCGATCGATTGATTGTGAAAACAAAAAAAAACAATTCTACATCAAAGGACATATAGTTTTGTGCCGACTAATACATTTTTAAAAACTTGCCTAGAAAAGATCTCGTGTCCAATTAAGCAATGACCAGCAGATGGAAGCACTAGCTGTTTTAACGTGAAAATTAAATTCAAGCACGTTCGACTTTTATAGGAGCCTTAGTTAAACTCAATTTTAGCGAGGACATTTTGTTTGTTATTTATTTTAACATTTATGTTAATTGCGTTCACTTGCAAAGTTGGAATGGTTTCAAATGTTAGAAAACGGTTGCCGTGATCGTCGCGACAATCACATTATCGACACATTTACGTGCGTGCTCCATTGCCATGGAATCCTTTATAATTTTTGCACACTGAGACGTACAATTATGAGAATATGCATTTCAAAGGAATATAAACGCTACTTTCTGTACGTAAACGCACATCTTACGTTTGTTCGAATTAGCTTTCATTTTTTTTATCTTATTGTAAACCTCCGATGGTGGCGCTCTCGTCGTCACTCCTCAACGAGATACTCAAGATTAAATATGTAAGCACCAAAAAAAATTGAGGGTTATTGTATTATGAATCGATGCAAGAATTATTGGCGAATCAAGCATTTATTTTATTCATGTTATTTTTAACGAGTTTATTGGTAAACGAGAACGCGTCTCTCTCTTTAACGCATACTGACAAATATATCGATATTTTTATGAGATAAAGATTTTTTTTTGTTTTTTACTACTTTTACAATATATGGATTGCAATAATATAAAGCAATATGGCCATTTAAATAATGCGCGTAAGGAATTGTAATGGTGCATTTGTGCAATTGTACAAGAATTACGAGGAAAAAACCTAGTCCGATAATCATCTATTATTTATCAATATTTGAATTTTTTTTTTTTGAACAATCGCAGACACATCACCGCGAATATATTTATTCGCACAGGTAAATTACATTTGACTAGCGACATTTTATCAATTATTTTATTAGTTTCTATGTGTAAATATGCACAAATCGCTAATTAAGTGATAATATTCCACTTTCTTGTCTTCATCGTTTACAATAAATTCGCCCTTCTCCTACAACAACTTTAATAAATAATCAAAAAATCGCAGTCACAGCGATAAAATATATAAAGTAAATACGACGTGTCAGCAAGTGTCAAATTTTCATTGTAAAGTTGTGCGACGAGGACTAGGATCAGTCAATGTTTTGCAGAACGAGTTTCGCTTGCATTTCAAGAAGGTCTGTACGTACATTTGCGAATGTTGAGAGAGAGAGAGAGAGAGAGAGAGAGAGAGAGAGTAGGAAGCGCGATGTAAGGCGGAAGGGAGAGAGAGAGAGAGAGAGAGAGAAGCATGGAACCAGTCCTGTTTGCGCCTCTCGCACCATCACCTTGAAGTAGTGAATTTGAAAGGTGACGCGAGAGAACGGGTTTTGCACATTGAATGCATGTAGGCCTGCGCGCGTATGATACCATTATAACGGTCGTAAAATCATTGCACGAAATTTTCCTATTTCCATGAGCGGATGGTATTTGTTGGTAGCGGAAGAGGCCGGATGGTGAGGGCGATGGGAGGGGGTGGGAGGTCGGAGGCAGTGGGAGGATGACTGCATAGTAATCGATCGGAGCCAGTAACAAGGTGCGAGAGCCATGATTATTACATTCGCGAACGATTTCTCGATGTTGTTGTCATTTTCGCGACAGCTCTCGAATTTACCGGAATTACCGCTGGCTTATTCGATCGAGCTCGACATTTTCCCTTTTCACTATACAGGCCCCTTTTCCATTCTTCCAGATAAGGAAATTATCATGATTAACCTTCTATTATATGCTTATCATGGCTAGTGTGATTTACGGCATTATATTGTCATTGTTTAATAGGACGATGAGTATATTTCTTTATTAACTTATATGGCATCAATTACTGAATTTTTTACAAGCTCTTTAGCATATTTGGACTATAATGGTTTATTTACATCTTGAAAATCATTTGCATATCGATATGCAACTTATGATGTTTGATACTACCTAGTCGACGGCTATTTATTTTCTTCTAAAGTCTTTCATGTAAACTAAGTGAACGTATTAAAAATAAAATAACAAAATGATAAGTGCGCAACTCCATCCATACTCAGCATGATGAGCATTGTAGAATTATCTCAACGTACATTGAGTTATTGGTTCAAATGCCCCAAGGAAGAACATCGTTATGTTTATTATACGTATCATATACCGCCAACGATTTAAAGACGAAACTGTGGTGTAATTTTTCATTTATTGCCCATTAATCTGTAAATTATGTTCGTAAAATTCGAAGAAAAAAAAATTTCAAGTATTAATTGTTTGTTTGAAATATTGAATTGGTAAATAATTAAATATAAGTGAGAATTATTTTATAAAATCGAAATTTATGATTCTAAATATTGACAATCTTAATGGATATGACAAAAGTCTTTTCATCATTAAAATAATGATTTAAAGTCCAAATAAATTATGCATTGAATGATATTTTTAACGAGACATTTCTCTAAATTTTTATCAAAAACATTTTGATAATATACTGACTCTTTAAAATTTATAAATAATCAAATCCACATTTACTGATTAAAAAATTAAAAAATTTTTAGATCATCGTATAATTTTATTAAATGTAGAGATTTTCAGATGAATTGTCATAAATAAAAATGTAAAAGTATATTATTTCATGTAAATGAGCATAATAAATTTGTGAAAAAAGTTATTAGCGATCAACGATAGATTTATGATTGTTCGTTAGGGTGATATATTTTTCCTAATATTGATTATAAGTTAAATATAAATAATAATAGTACGGCTGTAAATATAATTTCATAAATGTTTTTGCTCATTACTGAAACGATTATCTAAACTAAAAATTTTGTATCGTTTCTTCATTTATCTTATCATTTTTATGTTTATATTTTAAATTAATAATATCATATATGTTCTTTTTTATATTAGATTTTTTTTATAAATTATGTATAGTCTAATTATATATGTATATTAAATATAACTTAATTTAAGTATAGAAAAATATTCGAGGAAGAAACTGCATTCATTAGAGGAAATTTAAGAAGAAAATGTTTATCTTATAGATCATTGTAACCATACGTGGATAGCATGATTGAGAAAAAACAAATAAACAAACAAGTCATCTCGTATGAACTATACCTGTTTTTACTCATAATTCTCTTGGTACAAATATATTCAAACACTTTACTACGGTGATATTTTATCGTAACAAAATGCATCTTTGATTTTCTTTTTAACTCTCTGAGTTTATGGAGAAACAATTTGACGCGTATATAACTAAATTTAGTAGTGCTACTACATTAGTAGTGCTTATAAAATACAGTTGACTTATGACTCCCAGGTGTTTGTATTCTTAAATACTTCTTACTCTCCGCTTTTCATTCTCTTTAATAATTTAGGAGATGCAATTTTATATTTGAGGAAAATGTCAGACGTACAGTTAATTTATCAGCATTTGCTCAAAGTGTTTCCAGATCAATTTATGTTGAACTCGGCTTTCAAATTGAATAATATTTTTTCCAAATCTATCAATATTTTTTTATTTATATTCTAGTTTGTCAATTCAAAATGCGTATCTTCCTAAAGCGAAGTATGCTATTTTTTATATTTGATAACGACAACTGATGTATATAAATGCATTAGTTATTGAATAAATCAAAACATTCTTTTCGACAATTACAAATTATTTTCAGCATGTGCAATCACTCAGAGCATTTTCGTAATATACAAATAACATCATCAATTTCACTAATGTATGTTGTATATACGTACGTATATATGCATTTATTTATTTATTTAAAGAAATAAAATTTAAAGGTATATTTAATTTTTTATCTAAATATATTCGATAAAGTTTGCGTAATTATATTTTACATTATTTATAATTATTGAACATATTTCTGTATTATCAAGTAAACGAAGTAAAGATAAATGAAGTATAGGAAAATCGCATTCAAGTAAATTCAGTTAATGTTATTTAGTTTTAGATCTAATAAATGATTTGCTAAACATTAATTATTATAAACATATTAATTGTTATAAAAGTTAAATTAATAATATTCATGTTCGTTATATCTTTTCAACGAAATCTATATACAGTCAAGATTCAAAAATATAAATATATTTAAATGACTCAAGTACTTTATTATGAAAAACATAATTAAAACATAATGAGACAAGTAATAGACATTTTGTGAAATTAGAAATATCTAGAGATTGAATAAAGCCATTCGTATCTTAATATCTTAACTGAGTAATTATAATAAACTCTCCGAACGGATAATTTTACATGTATTATAAGGTGCATGTAATGTATATTATTAGTACGACATTTAAATAGATTTAACTGGTTAAGGAATATCCATAATAGTCACGGTGTTGTATAATATCATGAGGTTATAATTTTAATAAATTAATTTGAACTTTATATGACAATGAATGTCGACCGACGTGTTTATTCCAATTGTTGCATAATCAAAAAAATGTGTGTATATAGAGATAATTTGCAATAACTGATTTTATTAAGTTCTCTAAAACACAAAGTAGAATAGTGTTTTACAAAGCAATATAAATTGTAATTTTATTAGAAATAAAAATGTATAAATTTTACGATATAATACATTTCATAATATCTCGATAGAAACGGATTCATCTCGAGTAGTTGAGTGACAAGTATCATTTTTGTAAGGCTCTTGATAAAATAGTATAAATTGCGCTCGATCGGAGTTCAAATGTTTTGTTTGACTTTCAAGAGGAA